CGGACCCTGCGGTGGGGGCGGGACGCGTCGGCCGGGGGGGGGGAAAGGCTCCCAGGCCCCCGCCCCCGGGCGGACTCGGGGACTACAGCTCCCGGCATGCACCGCCCCAGCCACTCGGCGCCCCGCCCCGCCCCCGGCTCGCGGGCCGGCCGGGCGCGCGGGGCACGGCGGGAGCTGTAGTTCTCCGCGTTGCCGTGGGGACAGGCCCCGCCCCAACCCGGAAGTGAGTGGGAGGCGGTTCTAAGATGGCGTCTCCTCCTCAGGGGGGGCCCGATGGCGATCGCCATGCGGCTGCGGAACCAGCTCCAGGCCGTCTACAAGATGGACCCGCTGCGCAACGAGGTGAGGCGCCGCGGGGTCCCCCGCACCGGCCGCGCCTCGGGGCGCGCCGAGCAGCGCGCATGCGCGGGCGGAAGAGGGGCTTCAGCGCCTGAATGGGCGAGGGAAAGGGCCGCGCATGCGCACCGGTGACGGTGCGCACGTGCCCTGCAGGCGGTGTCTGTCGGTGCGAGGGCTGCCCGTGCGCATGCGTGAGCTTGCTAACTCCCCCCCTCGCAGGGTCTCTGATTCCGCCCCCTAGGGCCCAGACCCCGCCCCCATCGGGGCAGAGTTAAGGTGAAGTCGCCTTCAGGGAGGGACAGGCCAGTGTACAGTGGGAGAGGAGGTAGCCCTGTTCCTCACCTCCCACCGTCTGGGCTTCCCAGCCATGGAACCCCCTGACGGCCCCCCCGTCACGTTCCCAGGGCCCCTCCATGCCCTGCTCCCCACATCTGCAGGGGACCCCTCCCGCCAAGCTGGGGCGCGGGGCACTCGGTGGGGACCCTGCGCAGTGCCCCCTGCGGCTGGGCCCTGGCTGCCTGGGCACCTCCCCACGCTGGGCCAGCACACGGGTCCGGAGGAACTGGGGTCGAGAGCAGCTCTGCAGGCCGAGGGCGGGGTCGGGGTAGGTATAGCTAGTCCAGCTCACAACCCCAGAAGTGCAGGTTCACGGACCGCTGGATTGGCCCCCCAAGCTGGCGGCTGCCCTGCGAGCTCATACGACCCCAGCCGGGCCCTGGCCATGGTGCTGGTGGGAAGGCTCTGCTAGGGGTTGTTGGTGCTGTGCCCACGCCCGGCCCCAGGCAGAGCCTGGCCACCCTCCTGCTGGGGCCCAGCCAGGGGTGCCCGCATCCCTTGGGCACAGGGCGAGGACATGGCAGGCCCCCGAGCCGGCTCCGCCTGCAGGCTGCTCTCCCTGCGCGTGGAGAGTCGTGTGCCCGCAGCCCCGCAGCCACGCCCACCCACAGGCACCTGCCGTGATTCAGGCCCTCGTAACTGCAAGCAAAGTCCCCTCCCTTTGGGCTGGGAACGCCAAGGCAGCTCCCAGCGCCGGGAGCTGCCTCGTGCCAGGGTCCGGCCCCCTTCCATCCCAGAGCCTGCAACACGCCGCACTTGGGAGGAGTGTGGCTCCAGCCCCCCGGAGTGCAGTCCCTGTGTGGCCCTGCCCCCGCACAGGCTGCTGCTGGGGGATACCCCAGCCCCGGGCCATCCCCTGCAGGGCAGGAGGGCCCCTCATTTGCCAGCCCATGGGGTGGGGGTGCTGCGCAGAAGCACTGGCCTCTCTGGGCCCCTGAGGGAGGGGAGCTGACAGCCACCTGGCTTCCCCGCCTCTGTCTGGGCTGGGAAGTAGTGTGGGGTGTGGGATTGAGCAGGCAGGAGGGGACATCCCAGGGCAGGATCGCAGGGGCTGCGGGTCGGGAGCGAGGGGCCCTAGCAGAGCTGGGCGGGGAGGGGATCGCAGGGGCTGTGGGTCGGGAGTGAGGGGCCCCAGCAGAGCTGGGCGGGGAGGGGATCGCAGGGGCTGCGGGTCGGGAGTGAGGGGCCCTGGTGACATGTGCCTTGTCCGGCAGGAGGAGGTGAAGGTGAAGATGAAGGAGTTGAACGAGCACATCGTGTGCTGCCTCTGCGCCGGGTACTTCATCGACGCCACCACCATCACCGAGTGTCTGCACACCTGTGAGTGCGGGGCCAGGTTGGGGGCACCAGGGCTGGTTCACGTCAGCGGGGGCAGCAGGGGACGGCATCTGTCCGTGGGGCAGGGCTCCCAGTGGCTCCGCTGCTCCAACTGGCCCGGCTTGGCCCTGCCTCTGCTAGCCCTGGGTCTCCAGCTGAGCCGGTGTCTCCCTGGGGAGTTAGGAGCCCCCTATGCATATGAAGGAGCCAGGCAGGCCAGGCGTGGGGTGGCGGGGGGAGACACTGCGCTGTGTAGGGGGAGCTGGTCGGGGGCACCGGGGAGGGTGGGGGGCTGGTCCGGGCCCAGCCTCGGCCTCTTCCCCCCCTGCGCTTTCAGGGGTTGCTGCTCCAGCACGCGTGGCCAGCAGACATGTGTGGCCAGCAGGTGGCAGCACCGCACCGTCCTGCGTGGCTGGGGGGCACCGGCCCTGAGCTCTGGGGGGCGCAGGACGACCCTGCGGGGTGGGGATCAGCGGGAGCCGACCCGGCCCCCAGCGCCTGCAGGAGGCAGCTCCCTGGGGTGGGGCAGGGGCAGGGGCTGCTGGCTGAAGCTGGCTGCAGGGTGGGGAGCCAGGCCCTCCTCCTGTGCTGCGCTGGCGACGGCGGGAGGGGGCTGGGCCGGTCCCTGGGGCAGGGCCTGGCCAGGTGCTGCTGCCCCCCGCGTCCCGGGCTGGGCCTGGCTCTGACGCCCGGCTCCCCTGCAGTCTGCAAGAGCTGCATCGTGAAGTACCTGCAGACCAGCAAGTACTGCCCCATGTGCAACACCAAGATCCACGAGACCCAGCCGCTGCTCAACCTCAAACTCGACCGCGTCATGCAGGACGTGGTCTACAAGCTGGTGCCCGGCCTGCAGGAAAGTGAGTGGGGGGAGGGGTGCCGGGCTCCGCTGGGGGGCCGGGGTTGAGGTGGGGCAGCTGTGAGGAGCAGGGGGTGGGGTGGGGGCTCTGCTATGAGTATTGGGGGGCAGTATGTGCCCCACCTGCAGCCCCTGCGTAGGGACCATCGGCCCAAAGGGCCGGGCCTGTGACTGGCAGATGCCCGGTCGATGGCTCCACACCGCAGCCCTGGTGGCTTCCCAGCCCCCTGCCTGGCCAGGCCTTCAACCCAGAGCACACAGCCTGGGCCGGGCCCTACCCGGGTGGGGTGGCAGGGGCTGTGTGTGTGGGG